GGTGTCTGCTGGAACAGCACCTTGGTTTTTTCAATGTTTCAACTATTGGAGCTTCTCGTATGCTCCAATAGTAAAGGTTTGCTCCAAGAGCCAGGTCTTAACCTTTCTGCTGACTGTCAGAAGTGAGTTAGTGCAGTTATCATTTCAAATTGAGATCTTCCAATGCTTCATTATTTCATATATTAAAAATTGTCTGTTCAAATAGAAAACAGAACATTTAAGACTGTGTTCGGTCTCTGTAGCTCTCGCCAAATGTATACCTTTGTTGCATGCCAGAGACTTTTGGTGACAATTCTTTCTGTTCCTTCTCAATCTCAACAGTCTGTTCTCCCCACTTGCATGCATACCATGCCTAGCATAGACCTTGTCTGTTATTACAATAGCTTAGTTTACATTGGAAACATATCCATGGTTATACTGTGCCTCCTGTGCTTTGACAGAGTTATATCTCTTCCCCATTGAGTTCCAGTTTGGAAGAAAGGTCGGCTATAAATACAGTGATGGGTGGATGAAGGTACACTTGGCAACAATTTATACCACAGACTACTGATGCTTAAAGGAGCCACATTGGCTGGAATTGAGCCTGTTTAAGGATTCCTACCAGCCTGTCGTAAGGCTGCACAGAAATATGGATAGCTGCCTGTGCAAACTCTATTTTCTTCTTTCTGCTCAGATAAATGTATCCAATATGGACCATACCTTGGCCTGGTTGTGGCGTCTCCTGTGGATCCTGATGCTGTGGTATTTGCCTCCACGAGAAGTCCATGGCTTCTTCCCCAACTTCTGGTCTCGCACCATGGCTTTCACGTGGGGGTCCACCACCCACCAGGACATGACCGAAGATGCCATTCTGAATGTCACCATCCGCCTCTTTGCAGAGATGCCTCCTTCCGTCAAGGGAAAGCGCTTCCGGGAGGAAGACTTCAAGGTGAGAGGGAACAGAGTCACTTGATTACAGATTTGATTACACACTTGTGGTCTTTCTAAAATAGAAAAAGGGATATTAATATTAATTCCCTCAGAATTGCTAAGAGGCAGACTGTCTGGAATTCCTTACACCCAAAGACTATGCCCCTGTGGAGGAAATGAAATAGAAACAATAGAACACATTTTATTGCAGTGCTACTACTACACAGTGCAATGTAGCCAACTTTTATATCCAATCATGTCGCATATGACCAATCATCCCCCGCAGAGGATTGTTAGATAGGGTTGTTGTAGGTTTTTTCGGGCTATATGGCCATGTTCTAGAGGCATTCTCTCCTGATGTTTGGCCTGCATCTATGGCAAGCATCCTCAGAGGTAGTGAGAGGTTAGGGTTAGATAGCTTTTAGATAGATTGTTAGATATCTTTTAGAGGACACAGGGTGGCGAAATTCCTCACAGTGGTAACAAGGCTGAGAAAGCAAATCACCTCTGATAGGGATATTACTTGAAACCATGTAGATGTATTTTGTACAACGGACTTCTCCTGAGATGGGAGAATTTATAAAGACTATTGGTTTTACTGATGGGTCTATGGACCGTAATAAACTTGTTAAAAAAATAGAGAAAGAGCCCATTCTAACTGGGCTTTCATTGCGT